CATCGTCGTCCGGCTGGTCCCCTCGCTCACGCCAACACTGCGGGGGAGCTCGACACGTCAAGCTGAGTGACGGGCCGGGTGGGCTCGGCCATCGTAGTGTCGTCGTCGAGAGGCAGTGGAATATTTTCGGGAGCCGGCTCCGCCAGTCCCTCAAGAGTTTCATTCTGCAGCTGAGCGAGAACCGTCGCGCTTCCATCGTGGTCCACCTGCGAGAGGGTATGTTCGGCACCTTGGACCGCTCTCTCGGTGGCCCCTTTCCGTAACCGCTCCAGCTCGGCCGCCTGTGCGGCCACCCGATCTTCAGCCTCTCTCGCACGACGGGCCATCGATTCCGTTTCTTCCTGCCGGTGAACCTGTTGGACCGCCTGTTCGGCGTCGCGCTGCGCGCGGACTTGTTCGGCAGCTCGAGCGGCTCTTTCATCCGCTTCCTTTTGCACCCGCGCCAGCTCGGCCGCGTGGGATGCGGCTTTCTCTTCCGCCACTCGGGCCCGTCGATCCATGTCTTCCGCTATCTGCTGCAAACGTGCGGTCTCGGCCATGTGCGCCTCACTCGCTCGTTCCTCAGCGGTCCACTCTGTAGCAATGTCCGTCCACATTGCCTCTCGTTCATCAGTATCCATGGCCACGGCTGACCCTTGCGATCCGGGCCCAGGAGGAATACCGTTCCGACCATCATCTTGTGGGTGCTGGATGATGTATTCATGGCCCCGTGCCTCTGATGGACCGTCTATCGGACTGTTCTCCGATACAAATAGCGGCGACATAGGCACGCTAGAGGGGGGGTTATCTGCTCCTTGACGAAGGGACGGCTGTGGCCCAAAGAATGCAAAATAGACACAGCATCTCACGAAAAAGGTCGTGACCCTGTCCGGTACAGCCGCCGCCTGCATGTGATCGACGAAGAGTAGTGGACGGTCTTGCTCGAGGGCCTCCATGGTAGGGTGTCCGCAGCGAGCCTTACGCTTCACCGAGCGGTCGACGAGAACCGATGGTGCTCGAACGTCCCTGGGTGTGGCCACCGCGAAGCATTCGACGATCCGATCGATCAATGTATCGAATTGGGTATCGTCATATGAGAAATACTCGGGCTTCCGAGCCTTCAGCAACGCTTGTTCGGCGATCAATCGGTCAGGAGCTTGGTTGACGAGGTTCGTGATCTGAGAGGATCTGAATCCCAGCCGACGAGCGAGGGACGCCATATCGGACACGACACACTCGTCCGCGGTCGCGTTCTGCGCCTTGGCCAGCCGATTTTTGCGTTTTGGGTCACGAGGCATCTGTGGATAATGGCGCATGGCGTACAGCCACATCTGCCGATAGGCAAGATCAAACTGCCTCCCAACAGGCTCACGCCGACTGTCGAAGGCGGACTCGGATGTTTGAACCGGGCACATGTTACCGCCGTCGCTGCACGTTGTCCATAAGCCGTCCATCGTCTGACGGACAGTGGACTTCCCCAAGGTGAACAGTCTTGTCAGACAGTGGGCCCAGCTTTCGAAACACTTGAAGTCTTCGAAGAAAGAATTCAGAGATGGAACCAGGGCGCCGAACGACCGCAGCTTCTCCCAGATAGCATCTCTTTCGTCTTCATCAAAGTCGGTGAAGATCTGACCACTGGTCACAAGACCGCGCACCACTTTGGCTTCGGAGCGCGGCACCATCAACTGAAGCGTCTCGACCGTATGCTGGTCAATCTTCGCCACCGACGCCGGATCGTCGTCGACGAGAGAGAACCAGAAATCCTTCACGTAATTCAAGTAATGGGCAATTTCCTGCCGACGTTAATATGGGGGAACGAATGATGCCGGGTGGGAACCAACCTCATCACAACTGACCCCCATGACTCGATGGAGCATGCTGATCCGCATTGCATTCCGGTGTCCTGGTATTCCAAGCACACCGTCAAAGGCATGTCTGAGGCGAGTATTCTTAAACAGTGACTGCAGACGGGTTTGGCTGTTCGAACACAGCCGAGCCTTCCACCGCAGCTCTCCGTGGAGATTTCCGTCGTTTACATACTGGCGGATTCGGCGGTAGATTTCTCCATCACTCGGGGGCTTCTCGTTGGAATATTCTTCGATGAGAGATGTCTTCAGGTCGTCACCGATATCTACAGTGGGCAACAGTCAGACCTCCTCGCGGCTACTAGCCTAAGAAAGCTTACCGTCCGAATAAACGTCAACGACCCAACAGCGGTGGGCAGGCGACAAGACTTCTAGCCCGGCTGCGATCCGGTGTCGTCCATGTAGCCCCTGTAGTTTCCCTGGTGGGAACCGGAGATGAGGCATCTCCGGTTCCGGGTTTGTCAGCAATTCACGTGCACTGACGTTCGCCCTCTGCAGGGCAGCCGCCAGATTCTGCCGCGATACAGCTGCAGGTACACGGTGTGCCAGAGGCATGCTCTGGCATCCCTCTTCTTGGAAAATCCTGCATAAGCGATCAACGTTCTTGTGGTCTAGCTGTCGAGACGACTGAGGATCGAAAAAAATTTGATCTAAATCGACTTTGGCGGTTCCTTGGAATTTGAGACGTCTCTCAGTCGCCAGACGAGTCTCTCTCTCGGTGAATCGAAGGAGGGACTCCATCATGATAGGGTGCTTATTGCGCGTTCAGAATGATTTAGGACAGAGATGATAAATCGAACGGAGGGGTTGGAGACAAGCTTTATGTACCAGGCACGGCCACTTTCGAGGGTGACTGCTAACATGGCTCACGGTGAGCGCCGTTTCAAGCACCCTCGCCTTTCTATTTAAATTCGTTGCAGCGCACCCACCCCACTTACAAGACCTACCCCCCTACCTCTTCCATTCATTCTCGACCTCTTTCTACCAAGTCTACGCTGCGTCTACCGCTGTGCCATCCATAACCAGGCCGTCCCAGCAGTCGATTAGTTCGATCACTGCATTCCCTAGGACAGAACGTCGAGACCGGACACAATCTCCCTCCATGGAATCTGATAAGGTCAGTCACGCCGGCACAACCGGTTCACAGGGTGCAGCCCAACCAAGCTGGCCAAAGAAGAGAGCGCCTACCCCCGAACCGGCAACATATAGAAAGCGAATGCGCGGCCCGACCAGGGAAAAGATATGACGTTGTGGCGCGACAAATAGCAGCTTTTCTGGTGCTGTCTGGAAGGGAAGTGAGCGTTTGACGCACAGTGAAAAAGAGAGAGAAAGTTGAAAAATTGTTAAATCGATGGCTCGCGGTTGCTGGAGGTCGCAGCCGTGTGACTGTGGGAGGGAGCCATTTTGGGCTCCCTCCTAAAGTAGCGGGCGACTGAAAGGTGAGAAGCTGCTCTGCTCTGAATCGAAGTCATGATGGAGGCGCCGCCTTGACACGTGACTACAGGGGGAAGCGATTGGCACTGGTTTTCCACGCGTCTTCCTCCCCCCAGACAGCAGACAATGAGCAATCGAAGTCAAAAGGTTCGAAAATGGTCAGCCAAGTTTCAAAAGATTTAGTATAGATTGATCTACTCTGTATGGTCCAGAAGGACAATGGTCCAGCGTTGTATGGAATGAAAGACGCTGTTCCGATAATGCCAGGGTACCAAAAAGGGACCTACCAGCGATTTACAATGATATCATGCAGTGCACCAGAGTGAATACCCAGGGTACCCAGACGCCAGGGACCCACCAATCGCCCACCATACAGCTTCGTTTAACTCCACCAGGGGTCCCACTTTTGATTGCCAGTCCTCTATTGCATGCGACCCTTTTTCATCCTGCAGCACAATAAGGTAACTCACGTCAAATCCCGAAGGATGTGGGCTTGAAAAATCATGGCTTTGGTTCTTCTGCTGCCACCCTACTCCCTACCCACCCCATCACCCTGCTCGCCCTACTCGCCCTGCTCAATATACGTGGCCTCCATTATTCCACCCCAGCCATCGACCCTCCTCCTCATCCTAGAAAGTGTGGCCTTTTCCAGAAATGGATTATTGGAGCTGCAATCCGAATTGGGCACGTCACCATCTGACAGTGGCCTCTTCTTCGAGATTCCACGGACTTCGGTCGCGCGACCCTTTGAAGGGGCCACGATTTTCACAGCGTGGCCCTGGCATAAAAAGGTTTGAAGTTGCGGATAGTGACTATCCGCAAATCGTTTTATCGCACGTGACCACATCAACACCTTTCTCAGCTGGCGTTCTTTTTCTACATCGATACAACTTCGACAAGAGTTCAGTTGAACATGGCTCTCTGTGGGACTAGGGCGGGCTCTGATTCTCTACGTCTTTCGCAGGATGATGCAAGGTTTGCAGAGCACCTCTGCCTTCAGGTCCAGTCACTCGTTTCTCGACTACATCAGCGTGGAGATTGCCAGCCATTTCTTCTGGGTTCCCAACTGTGGCAACTGGCCAACGGAATAAGGCATATTGCAGAGCAATATGCTCGCGACCACATTTCTTTTTTTTTGTCAGACACTGAGTATGCAGGTGAAGTTCGGATTTCCGACTATTTCTCTGCACCCTCGTTCGATGACAATGATGGGCAGCAATCGCTGCCTCTAAATGAGCCGGTATCGTTGGTTCAGCCTTCCTGTCACGACATGACGTGTGTGCTGTCAGATGTAATGCCACCTCCATTGGATTGCTATGAACTTGGAAATGCTGCTTCTCGCGACCCGCCAGCAGCCGTGAAGACCGCTGTTGACGAGTAAGTATAGCGGGAATGATGAGGAATCCAGCTGATAGAGAGTACAGAGGTGCAGAGGAGCGCGACGAGGCGCCAACAGCACAAAGCGGAAACACCAGTGATAGCGCTGTCAGCCAAGACGACCATGCTCCCGAGCAGCTTGAAGACAAATACTCACCAGATGCACCACCTGGATCACCTAGCAGCAACTCTGTCCCAGCTGCACTGCGTTCACGCCCAGATTCAGTGCTGACGAGCAAGATGGCGCACAATAGCACGGAAATGACTGCTGCCGGTGGTCTGTCGGCCCTTCCCAGCAAGCTGAAAAGGAACTCTGGCTCCAAGGCCGATGGTAAGAGCTCACGGCCTAGAAAAAGGCGGCCCTTCAGCCAAGGCAGATCAACCTACCGATATGCTTGAGCTCTGTACGGAACTCGCACCTATCTCACACAAGATCTTCGAGCCGGACGAGGTCTACCGCGTCTTGGTTCGGCGAAGTGAAGCGAAGCATCATCAAAAAGTGCCATTGCTGGTCCGATTGTTTTTTGCGGTCGCGAGTCCCCTGGCCTTCAAGCAGCTAGCCGAGGCCTGCGAGGCTGCTCGCGAGCGCCATAACCTGATAGCGCCATGTTCTGCAGATGATGCAATGCTGATGAAAGCGCTAGATGCGTTAGATTCCGGGACCGCGATCCGTGCGATTCTCCGTCGATTCTTCCTGGTCCAGCTGCTGGGTCGCCGACATGAATGTGAGAAGGAGTATAAAAAAGGTCGACGGTCGGCTAACGTAGCGGCTCAGAAGAGCCTCGGGGGGACCAGAGATACTGACTTGTCATGCCGAGCCGACTCCAGCGCCTTCCGGGATTTGCTAATAAAGTTCTATCCCCACCTCAAAGTGCCAGACAAGAGAAATCCGTTGGCGGACGATAGTGAGTATCATGAAAAGCACACGAAGCTGAAGAATCGGCTCAACTCTGCACGTAATTGGTACCAGCTACAGCAGAAGTTTTCATTGGGAATTCTTGCTCTTGTTCCATGTGGTGAATTGCGTATCGGGACCGACAAGTTTGTCGCCACAATGGCTCTAGTGCTTCATTTGGGTTGCTGACGTTCACCAGGTTTGAGAAATTGCCCAATGACTTATTCACGATCTTTTTTAGATGTCTTGTGTGAGTACAGAGGCGCCTTCCTCCAAGAGGTCGGTCATCTGGTATCTCCAAATATTGAGGCTATCCTATACGGACACGACATTGGTGTCAAATATGAGTTTGAACATGCGGACAGGACATCCCTCGTGCAAGAGTCAATGGACTCACAACGCATCATTGGATTTTGCCAACCGGTTGATGTGTCGGATCAAAGCAGAGAATCGATCCTGACAGTGGACTAGATATCTGCAGCGTGCATTATTACTTGAAGGCCAATAAGGCGCTTTGTGGCGGTTTAACTTGCTCGGAGGTCAGATATAAGTTGGATATAGCTAAAAATAATTTGCTATTGTATAAGTCAAGCTACTTTTATAATTCAAGCTACTACGCATCTTGAAATTATATCACTGACGCGCACTAAGCTTTCACTCCATGGCATAGGGGCCAAGGACAAAATAACGCCCACAGCGACTGCGGCTCATAAACAGTAAACAGTATCTCTAAAGCTGTGTTTCCTACCCAGGCATCGACGCTAGTGCGACTATTCTCCTAGATTAGATACATAAAAATATAGAAAGGGTAAATGCGGGAGCCAAGAAATACAGAAGTGAAGATACTATAAAATTTAAAAAGGCAAAAGAAATCCAGAAATGCAGAAATGCAGGAACGCAACCTTATGCCCAGGTTGTCGCGATGAAGAATCACGACCGAGTGTCAGACGCGGCGCACGTTATTTTGCTAGAAAAGTCTACGCTATGAGTCCGGAATTATTCACTCTTTGTTCTCTGTCGTATACCATTTCTGGTCTGCCTAAAATTCCACCTGGGACATTCTACGACCAACTTGAGCAGTGGTGGGCGCCGAAGCCCCCTCGTGAATCACTTTCTGAAGTTACTAGCACACTTTGTCAGGATTTATCACGGATTGAAGGAGAAAGCTTAGGCTCTTCCGCAATTCTCTCCGCTGACGAGAGTAGAAGTACCTCCTTGCCGTTGGTGACACACAGCAGTCTCCCGCTTGCAGCGCAACCTGGCATCCTAGGAAATGTACCTTTGGCAGGTGAGCGCAATGGCATTCTTGACATGATATTCCTCTTTATTGGGTTGCACCTCAGTTTTGTCGCTGATCTTCTTGGGATATTATTACGGAGATGTCGAGGTTCTCATCGCGCTGCAGGTTGGATGGTGATGGCCCACTCCGCACAGTGACGGTTTAAAATAGAGTACCATATCAACTATAGCAAAGAGCTTAAAAAACAATAACTACACGGACATGGGTGATACCGGAACAGATTGATAACAGCCCTCCATCAGACCCGCTTGTGAGTATCATTGACACGCGTCACCACACTATCAATCAGGACAAACATGCAACTAGCATTTCATTCCAGCGCTATATTCATTTCTGCATTTTTCGGCACATGCTTTGTTTCGCCCATATAATCCACCTTGCAATTGTAATATGTCTTGCACTCCAGCGTCAACTCAAGTGCTCTACTATCAACAAGCCCTGGGTTCTCCTTCCTTGATTACGACCACAACTCGACCAAAAGCATGTGCATCCACGCCCATTCATTGGGGTATATCTCCGGAGAGAAAATCTCGTTGATCTGTAAGCACCAATCGTCGTCCCACCGCCCACAGGCTTGTATGGCTCTGGAGTACTCCCAGTAGCTGGGATACCATCCAGCAAACTCCCAGTCAAGAAGAACCAATCCGAACTCATCCTTCGTGTCGCCAGTTAATCGCATCACAATATTCTTTCGTTGAAAATCGCCGTGTGTAAATGTCGGTGGGTGGTCGCGCAGTATCGGCGGAAGGCATTGCATGTAGAACTCTGCTTTCGCGAGTGAACCATTATTGAATTTATATTTCTTGATCATGGCATCATTAAGCTAAGACAAGAGCACTGTGGAAGACGCTTCCACATGAACAAAAAAGGTCTTCCTGAATATTGGAAGGAACAGCACGGCAGATACTGGTTCATATAGCAACTGCCAAAGGACGGCGTAGTAGGAAACTATGGAAATACTATATGCCCTTTTCTGCGTCAGGGGACACAATCGGCCAATAAAATGGTGATTGGGATGGTTGAAGTCACGCCTTGGCGTCCTCCTGGTCCGGACCGTCAAGGTCGCTAAATAACAAACTAACCGACAACCTCAAGGTCACTGTTTTGATTAGGTGACGACTTATCCTGGTAAGTTCGGGTAGACGGAACTAAAAATAGATTTAACATCTGCTTGGCACTAGACTAGATGTTAGACTAGCGCCAAATGCGGGGAAGCGCAATAAAAGGAGCAAATTGAATGGAGCCAATGTAGATAAGAAGAGACCCTTTGTGGTAAGAAGTGTTAAAAATGTAATTAGCTGAAATATTTTATGTGGAACAGCTGAGGATTACAGGCATTCTGCCAACTGTGATGTTCAATACGCTAATTAATATGCAAGTTCTGATAATCAAATAAACTGCCCCTCTCAAGCCGCCGCTGTTTTCTATTTGTGCGAGCCTGCCGCGAAGTGTTTCCACCTTTCAAATGCTAAATAATTGAATAAAGTAGCGATGATGTCCTGTGCTTATTGCAAACGCCTTTCTTTCTAGTTAATGTTCGGTACTCTCTCGGCGTCTTCCAAACCATACAAGCACAGTGCCGCCCATTGTCAATCGCTAGAACATGCAGACTTGTATCAGAGATCATACCATATGCTCTTCTGATGGCAGCCAGGTGCCACTTCAATCAGTGTTTAGGATATTGACGCCTAACGTGAATTAAGATGAAGACTTGCGCCCCCATACTTGTCACTGAACTCGACACATTTCCGGAAGAGACCCATTCTTCTTCGACGTTGTTTTTGTCGAAGGTTGGACTGGTCCTGCTGTGACCGCGATCGTTTTCGCTGTTTAGTAGCTGGGGTACGGCCATCTGCACGCATCATGAGGTCTTGACGAAAGAAGAGGCTGTCGAGTATATACGAGATGGGGTCGAGGAATTTATAGTAGGCGGGGAGTCCAGTTTGGGCCACCCTCATTGATTCCTGAAGCAACTCCATACCGGAATGCGAGCCGTTTCGGATTCTTTCACTGCTTTTGCAGTGGACTGACCAGCCGATGGACCTGCTGGATTTCTGGATTTCTGGAGAAGAAGGGCATACCTTTTGGAAAAGAGGCCATGTTTTAGAGTGATGCACGCTCTTCAGGGCTTTCAGGTGCGAGTGATTGAAATCCAGCATGGAAGATTCATCGTTTTCACCAAGCGCGGAAAACTTACTGTATCCCTGCATTAATAGCACTACCTCGTGAATGTCACATGAACATCGACCAGGTGTAACTGCGTTTGCGGATCTCAAGATTTCCGGATTTCACGATTTCGGGATTTCTGTGACATCTTCACTCCTACGATTCTGCTGTTTAACGTAACTCAACTTCACGATGTCCTCAGGCAAGCCAAATTTTCTTCGACAGCTTGGTCTGCTTAAAGGCTATTTTCGGACGATGGCCGAGAGATAAATGTGCCTAATATAGCCGCACGATCCAATGTTATTTAAATTGCAATAAAACAACTGTTTGCGGAAGATATTTTAATAGGAGAAAGTGGTAAAGCTATCTCAAAATTATTGACAAATGACAAATGCACCTGATATCAGAGTGAATAAAAAAGAAATCTGACAATTAGAAGCAGCACTTAAATCGGTAGTGCCCAGCTCTCTTATGTTATAGATGAGTTAATTGGCCGCTCCCTCTGCTAAACCCGCAGAGGATGTAGGTACGTCCAGAGAAGATTTGGGTGTCAGCTTAAACCCTCGTCCATACCGTTCACTGAATTCCGAAGTAGGTTCGTTCACCAGATCATCATCAGGAACAGACGATATATTACCTGGTGAAGATGAGTCCTGATTCTGGGTATTTTGGATGTTGATGCTTGTCATATCCCGTGATAACTGTTGAACTGAGCTATCACTGAGGTAACCTCCAACCTGCCTCGATCTCCACCCAAGCCCTCGATTTTTACCATGAATGACCTTCCCACTAGTCGAAACCATGAATTGTACAGCGTCGCCAGTAGCATGGTTTTCAATGATGCTGATGTTTTCCTTCAAGTTGATGTCTGCTCTAGAGCAGATATCAATGCACTTGTGAGCCGTCTCCCATTCATCGCGCAGCCTTGCAAGATTTGTAAATTCCTCCTGCGACACCATAGATGTCTTTGACTTTGTCAGCAATCGGTCCATTACATCTTGCATATGCCTTTCCAACTTTGCAATTGTAAGAATAAGACTATTTTTGCAATCCTGCAAGCCTTCATTGGCGACTCTTTCAGGTAAGGTTTCTGGATCAATTGATCCGGGAGAGCTGCCACTGCCCTTGGGTGTGAGTTGAATCTGATCAATGTGGTTGGACAACTGAGCACAGATTTGGAGACATTTTTCTGTGCTTGCGCGCTCCTCCTTTATCCGCTGCAGCTCTGACGCATCTAAGCCAGACTCTGGCACAGTTTTCCCAATTATAAGCTGAAGTTTTTCTTTGATGCTATCAAGACGAGCCTCAAGATCAGCCTTGGCATCCTTGACGAGGTCCCTGGTCTACATCAGTAGTAGTGTTGACGGTGTCGGTGAGCCGGCCTAGGACCCCGCTCAAAGCCTCAAGCTCCTCCAGAAGATCACGTACGGTTTTTGGATGGGACTGAAAACTCTTGATCGTCTCGTATAGTGTGCTGCTAGACTTGAAGGCAAAAACAGTCAAAGTCAGCAGTCCGGAAGCCAGGCTTATAGGTTCTGCCATCTTTGTAACAAATATCGCTGTGAATTCAGAGACACCGCAGATAGGCAAGAAGTTGATGATCGTGTTAAAAGAGTCGCGGGGGGCCAGGCTTGGGTCTTAAACCTTGCAATGGGCAACCCATCGGCTGCGGCGAGCTCCAATCATGAACAGGGAGTAAGCGCCCACTTGGCATGACGATCAAGGTCCATTTGCGGGAAAGTTTGCAGGGTTTGTTGAACTCACGCAGCCACTCAGCATTCGATGATGGAAGATGCGTGCGCCGTTGAACTCAGACGCCAAGCCATTCAGTGGATTAACTGCGGGCGCGTGATATTTCTATTCCATTTCTGACTAAAACTGTTCTAACTGGATCTGAGAGCAGGAAACCATTGGTCTCGTTGGAAATTTCCAACGAGCCTGGCGAAAAAAGAAAATGCATTCATAATTTGCAGTGCTAAAACTCCAACGCAGACAAGCGCAACATAAAAATTTAAAAGCCATGAGATCCCGTGCTGTACACCCGGAGACCACTTAATGCCATTTTCTATAAAGCTGCCCGCAGCCCCGTGTAAAATTCTATACATAATTGGTGAGAACTTCATGGTGACACCCACCTTTCCCCAACCAAATTGGGCCCGGGCGCCTAAGATTTAACACTCGCAATGTTGGTATTTGATAAAAGCTGTACCACGACCTGGTCTCTCGCGGATCTATGTGTGATCTAATTCTACTGCACAGAAATAGGAAGAATGTGAGATATGGATGTTGGCAGTTTGCAATGCTTTCATTGGTTTACTTTTGCTGGTTTTTCGTATTTTCTTTCCTTGAAATATGCGTCCATTTTAAAAAGGACACTTTGGCATTTATATATATATATGTATCTCGTGTGACTAAAATCGGTACTTTACGATTAATTTTAACATGGCGATTCAGTAAGTGTCTTTATGTAAGAATTACCCAAAACCTCGGAAGTCCAGAAGGGAGGTAAGGGAAAAGTGGATGTAAGAGTGATTGTATGAGACAGTTAATATGCTTGATTTTGTAGCTGTCTCTGTGCAGAGCTATGGCCGCGGGCCTGTTTATTTGTATAACTTTCAGAAGTTGGATCGAGGAGGCGTATAGCCGTAAGGAAGAGAGTTTACCTTTGATAATGTTTGAATAGTTTGCACTAGTTAGTTTATCACTGACGTATGTCCATATCCTCATTCAATCGCACCCTTTTTTCTAACCATTCAAATCTCTCTCCAATGCAGACAGACTGGTCTCCAGACTACTGTCTGGCTTGTGACCAGCGCACCACCGGTGATGCCTTCTGCTCCCAAGCCTGTCGTCTGACTGAGCTGGAGAGGCTCAATTACTCTCTTCCTCAATCCCAGTGTCGCCCGGCTCCCCCCCAATCTGGAACACGCCTCTCCCCCACGCAGAGCATCTCATTGCGGCAGAGCTTGTTATCCGCCACAACGCAATCCGAGCTAAGAGACTATACAAGCTCTTTTGACCACATTCGAGAAACGAAAAGACGCATCATCTCCTCAGCCAGCTTGCCTGGGCAAGGTGGCTAATTGTGACAAAACGGTTATCTCCTTGGGATGCTTATCCTTGGGAAAGAAGATAGCCATAGAACTAGGCCCCAGAAAGCTCTCTTTGGGACGCCATGCCAAAGTCGCCATATGTAACCGTTGGCATGGGAATGAACTTCGGTCAAAAGCCATAGGCCAGGTAAGGTCCTGTGGCTGCTGCTCTATCAATCTCGTCGCCCGTCAAACCAGTCGCCCATCAATCCAGTCGCCCGTCCCAAACGTTCAGCAGGGATTTTCTCCTAGCGAGTGAGAGAACGAGGTTGAAATGCTTCTGGAATATTCTTTGATAGCATATTCAGTAACCTGATGCCAAGGCGCTAATTTGTGCCTGTAGTCATTTCGGGTTCGTGATATTCCGAACCGGAGTGGAGCTGATCAGCTAGCACCCATTGCCCGGAGACGCCCGTCTTACCACCACGAGCTATATCTCCACCAGCAAAATGGGTAAGTAGCAGCAACCCTTTTACGATTTAGTCACTATAGGACCGTCTTAGAGCATTGTTTTGCCGTGAACCCTCAACTCTCAAATACACAACCTCTGCCGGTGGATGGACGATCCAGGCACCGGGCATTATGCAAAACGATCGAGGTCCTCTACGAGCGAACGGTTGTGGTGGAGGATATCATCATCAGCATGGGGCGGGAAGACCTCTTGAATCGCGCGCTTGGCGGTCGCATTTGCGCCTTAAAGAAAATAAGGGAAATACAAGCGATGGATTGCCAGGATCAGATGCCTCCCCGGCTACTGAAGTGCATTGCTCCGCAATGTAAACACGGCAACCAAGAGTATCAGTCCGCCGAACACCTGGCCAAACACATCCGAAACACCCGGGATCGTAGCCACCAGTTCCACCGTGCGATACTCACTGGGACCTACTGTTTTCAGTGTGGGAAGGAATTCTTAACAGGCACCTCTTCTCTTGCAAAGCACGAGAAGGATTATCATAGGGAATCAGGCAAGTCGAGGCTTGAAACCTCCAGAGCGTTCCGCACCGCATGTGAGTTGTACTACTTGTATGAAGAGCTTACACATACTAATGGAGATAGTCACTCATGACGGAAGCCTCTTGCAGCCGAACAAGAATCACGTCGCCGCCCAAAGCGAAGAGAGCGAGGCAGGTTGCGAAGAAGAGTCACCGGGTGCATCTGCAGCCGACAGCTGCAGTGACGGTTCAGGCCAGCGAGAAGAAGTCATGAAGATGTTTGAGCAGATAAACACGAGAGTTGAACGGCTTGAAAAAGAAAATGTCCGGCTGCGTGAAATCGGGGACCGAATCCGACCCTTAGGGGAGAGGAAGAGGAGGCGTGGTGACGACGGATCTTTCACGGACCTGGCCGAATCTAGATCAGCCATATGGAGCAAATGTCCCAATGGCTCGGCCCCGTCGGTGCTCGCCCATGACCTTTCTAACGGCGCCCCAACCGTGCCCTACTCGGATCAAGTATCGTCATCCGACTCCGCAGGGTCTAACCGCCATCTCAATCCCTCCCCAGAGGGACCTACTATCTCCGACGAATCCCCGTCTCAACTCGGATCGATGTATCCAGGTCAACTACAGCCATTTCACACCAGTCGTCTCTTAGATTTTAGCAACCCCCATCCCGATCCCTCTCAACTACAGCCGTTCCCCATCAGTCCTCTCTTAGATTTTAGCAACCCCCGTCCCGATCCCTCTCAACTACGGCCTTTCCCCACCAGTCCTCTCTATGACTTTAGCAACCCCCGTCACAATCCCACCCCGCTGCCGCCCACAGGTTCCAATGAATACCCAGCTCAAATATTGCTGTTCGATCCCACCGAAGACTATGTCCAATCTTGACACCCCCTAGCTTTGCTTCTACTCGCCCACCTTGATACGGTTATACTGGCGAGCTTTCTGTCATAAATGGCACTTAAACTTTTACCACTTTGATAATTAAAAATTCCATTGCCTCATAATGCTAGCCCGGTCTACCTTTGATGCACCATAATCCCTTTAAATTTCCCGATGAGTGTCCTATATTATCTTAACATTTCCTTGCACACCAACTCATATGTATCGCTGAAGTTTTCACCAAGAATGGTCTGACCGGGAATAGTTTACTATGGTTAGGTCCGTTTTGCCTGACGGCTTGGGATACTGTCGTGCCAACCAGCCGTTGCATAGGATCCTGTAAGATGTTAATAGTAGACTTATTGTTTGAGAGTTGGCTTCTCGTACACGTCTCCACCGGTGAGTAAGATGGGTTCTGGTTCATCGCCCTCACTATCCCCTATATGGTATCTCCATCTCCACTGCGCCATATCCTTTTTGCCGGAGAGATGGTAAGCAGTCACGGCAAGGATCTCGTCTTTCTTGTCTGCCAGCCCCTCCCACTGAGGGGAGCACTGAAATTGGGAGTTCTCAAGCTGAGAAGCAGGCATCAGGAATGGCAGATGACGTCGGAAGTTTGGGCTCACTTTGGCAAGAAGGTAATTAACGCACTAGGTACCTTTAGCTGCATTGAAGAGAGGTAGAGGGCGGAAGTTCTTACATGATTGTTCATAACCCGCTGAATGGAGTCTGTATCCGTGGCGTCCTTTAGCACGATCCATCCATCATCAATAAGTACCTGTAGTACTCTGCCGAAGTCCCGAGAGAGGTCCAGTGTGTCGCTAGATTTGATCAAAACCTTGGTGTCCATGATTACCCCGACCTGGTTGCGCGCATCGCGGGGCGGGGCTGCATGGAGGGGTGGTGATGTTGAAGGATGACTGAGAACCACGTGACGATGACGGCATGAACTAATCTTGGCACCATCGCCACGAATCTCCTGTCATATTTATTAGCGCTGATCGAGTTGTGGATGCACCAGTGATGGGGACAACTAACTCCTCTTTTTCGTCTAGTTTTTGTCCTGACCATCGAACTCATTCTGAAGCACACGATCCGAGGACTAGAGGCGACACAGAGGGGGATTGGGGTAATAGACGACAAACAGAGCGAGGGGGCTGTAGGATCCAGAAAATTTGTTCGTGGCGGGGAATCGGTGGGATTAAGTACGTGAATCTCTGTCGCCAACTTCATGCCTGATTGACTTTCATCTGGTGAATAGAATAGAGCCTTGCATTGAGGCAACTGGTTGCCTGAATCTCCCAAACACACCGCTCAGCTTGTGGGATTAAGTTGTCTACTCTGATTGGCGGCTTGGCAACCATACATTAAAACTGCAGCTGGTATTAAAATCCTGAAATGATCGTTATGGTGCCGTGGACGACAGTTACATGCTCCCAGCAGGGAAGGGATGAATGGCTATGTGATTGATGATACAGGCTAGGCCGCAGCATGGGTATATTTCTAAAACCAGATACAGAACTGGAACACACTCCCGATTCTCTCCACGACTTCCGTCTTTCCAGGGTATGATCTGGACAAGAGCAGGTCATCGGTGTTCGAAGTTGCCCTCCGCAAACAAGCCTCGTATTGGGGGGAAGATGGTTCGTGCCGCCGGAGGCTTTCAACGGACAACTGGTACTCTCTGAAAATGGGAAATATAAAAGGCAACGCAGGCTTTCCCCTCTTCCTCATATCCCTCAAATGGTCGCGGCACGCCCGAAAGTTACACTCATATTCGACAATTCTGCGCAGCTCCGATGGGATCATTGTCCATTCTACCTGGAATGTGTCGGGCGCGCAGGCAGCAGGCCTCAGGCCCTCGGCAATTGCGGTCGCTCCGTGAAAGTTTCCTTGCTTGTACAAGCACTTTTGGGACAATGTCAGAAGTACTCCAAAGCGAAGAGGCTGCAGTGACCAGCTTACCATGGCAAGTTGGACCAAGAGATCACGGTATCTCAAGTCCTTTCGAAGGCATTCGATTGTATCTTTATATCGATGGCTCCAAGAGCGACCCAAGAGACGCCCCCACTCCCCGTCCGCCTCCGAAAGCATGAGGGCATAGGAGACTTGGAAGCATCTCAAGTCTTTGTTTGTGATGGAGCTGGCCAATGAGGCTGGCGGCATGTCTCTGATTCCCCGGAAAAACGTCAGGTCGGCCCGAAACGTAGCCGCCGGATCGATATCTTGTCCAGCGTCATAGGTACGCTGGAAGCGGTCGTTCAGGAGGTAAAACTCATCCGCGTTCAAGTAGCCGGGTTGGTGACAGAAAACATCAGCAAGAGGGTCAGTGATGAAGCCGATGTTAAGATCATGCGTCACACATTCCCACCTCACACCATAGGGGTCTGGATGCAGCCGGATATCACTGCTCGTGCAAGAGGGTTTACTCCGAGAACAATCTGTCTCCAGTGTCAGCACACAATATAGATTAATTGCCCCAGCTCTGGCCTACCGTTTGAAGCTCATTCTTGACCCGCGGTGGCTCAGGACACCTCCGAAGAAGACTACTGAGTCGAATACGGAGCACCCTGAGGTACACTAAATGCCCGTCCATCACGTCTGTGTCGCGCCCAACCGCCTTGAGAAGCCACCCTGCGAATGGGACATGCAATATCACCGACCTGGTCTCGGTGTCAATCGCACGGGCTACAGCATGGGCATCGGTCGTGTTCACTCCCGTCAGCGGATTTGCCTCATAGGGAAAATCTGTCTTTGATACAGACTGCTCCAATTCGTCGAGACTCAACCAGCGAGCGGAGTCATGCATTCTGGATTGATCTCGATGATATCTGGAAGCTCACCAGTCTGATGGAGAAAATAAGAAGAACGTTTCTCGACGAGAAAGACAACGGCAGGACGGCCGAGGAAGCCGTCATACCGGAGCAATACCCGCCATATATGCTCTGGAAAATGGCTGGCGAGTCTGGCTGGCATGGGCGGCAACGTCAAAATTATCCTAATCGGGAAGTTTTATCGCCAAGACCATCCCAATGAGGAAGTTCTGTCGCCAAGACCGTTCTGATCAGGAATAGCTAGTGATTGTGGGGCTCTTCCATGAATTTCCAACGCCACGATCATCCAAGCCCCGATGATAGTAAGGGGATCACTGTTTTTTTCGACGCCAAGACAATCCTAATCAGGGAGCATAATCGCTGTGTTAGCCATGTCAAGGCCACGCCTCCCGCAAAGAATAGGGGATCCTCCCCCCTAGGTAACAGAGGCCTCGTCGTCAGCTTGGCGACAACCCAAGCGTCTCCGGCTCACAAAAAGCAACCATAGAAGCAACCAGCAATCTAGCACGTCGGTTAGCCCGTCGCTGAGGATGGAAAGGGAATGTAAAAGGAGCACCAGCACCAATTTCATGATGTGATGACTCGCATGTCTCTTCGATTCTCAAAATTTCACCGGAATGGGCAGAGGCGCCTACGACACCACCGGAGTTCCCAAACCTCAACCTCCTCCCAAACCGCGATAGGTTTGCACATACGTACAGCGAGTGCCATGGCGGGCAAGAAAGGACTGATTCTACCGTCTGTTACTCAGCTGCTGGAGGCGACTCACGACTATGGGACCTCGCAGCACCTCGAGGATCTTCGACATTTTCACGAAGAACGGACGTTACCAACGTTGCAGCCGCGCCCAACTGACATACAAGCGAGATCGATCGCTGCCTCACGGTTGCCCCAGTATCGCAGCACGTCCTCACGTCTCACCACTCGGGTTCGATCGGTCATAACTCCTTCAAGTCTCCAAGTCCCAACAACGACTCCTTGCTTTCATGCTGCCGATCCTCCTCCGCTCACTACATCGCAGCATGAAAATACGCTGCAATCGTCCAACGGTCTCTTCCGCCAGACGCAGCTGCCCTCAACACAACGCAATCGACAACAGTATCCCAAAGGTACTTCTCTTCCTCCATTGCAACAGGGTGGATTAATTTCTCCGAGGACTATGCCACAGACAGCAACAGAATTCGCGGAAAGATTATCGCGTATAGGCGTCAATGTCGATTGGAAATCTGCCTCACTGGGGGCGACAGAGAAACGGCTAAAAAATAGCCTTGCCTCTAAAAAGTTTCGCCAGCGGAAGAAGACTCGGGCGGAGGAGCTGAAGAGGGTAGAGGAGCTGGAGAAGAGGATCGAGATATTGACAGAAGAGTGTGATCATTTTCGGGGTTTATATTATCAGTTGAAGGAGAGCAGAGACATCAAACACTCGATCAGCCCTCCTTCACTCAGGTTGGCCATGCCTTGAACTGTTTTTGCATATCTCTGGGCCATGGTTCAGCCATTCTATTATGGAAGTTAATTTGCAAATTTTACGTCTAGTTTTGTATCATTGCTACTGAAAGAAATTTGACCACCCTATTCACCCACAAAGTTGCCCACATGGGAATAATTTAGCAGAGCTTTATCCTAGCGAGCTCAGCAGAGTACCACCAATTGTGCCTGGTATTGTGACAGGGGACTTATGTTCCGAACATCGAATTTGTACTGGTTATTAACTATTTACACCCCTCTTTAACTCAGTTCTATCGATACACTGTCTTGCTTTGTGACGTCGCCAGGTAGGGTAGGAAATGAAGACTAGACCCTGGCATTTACCTTTCCTATCTGTTCTATCAAAGCAAACGTCCAAGTGTAAGGAAGCCAAATATAGGAGATTCTAGCGTTCGCCTTACCACCTAGGAAGGATTTTGCGCTTGATTACGAAAAGGTTCTACGGCAGGAGCATTCGTAAATGCCAGCCAAGAAAGACATCTGCCGAAATAGGAAATCGTCTTTGTGATGAATCTGTGATACTTGGAGCCACTGGGCTATCGGATGCGAGCTACCTTACTAAACCTATTTTCTTGAAGGCCTCTCCTCTCACTGACAGCCTAAAGCTTGAATCAGTTAATCCGTAGGCCACCGGAGCTGGCCGATTGCCGATTGCGGACGTCCATCCAATCTTGTGCTAGTTGTATATCCACTGACATGGATCACGCGTGTATTTAGCAAAGCAGGGCTAGTCCATACCTTGGGCGAGGCGTTTAGAGTTGGTTGGACAGAACTGTCCATGATAGACATATTGTCTCAAATAAGAGGTCGTTGGAACAGAGGCGTTTTATTCCATCGGTCTCTACGGCTATTTTTTGCCCCGTTGATTTCCGACAAGTGCACGTGACCGTAGATTTGGTGGGCGACTCATGACATCATTGCAGAAAATCCCAAGTAAGTCTCGGCCCTTATGGTCTCAACATGGCTAAAAAAAAGGGTGACCACTAGTAGAGTGTCAAAAAAAAGAGACCGAAAATGTAGAAGTGAAAATAACCTGCCTTACCTCCCTCACAGCATAGAAGGTCAGAGCGGTGCAATCCCTGAAGGTACATGTCATCATCTTTCATACAAGCTCCACAATTCCCGGCGGTAAACAGCCCCACCTCATTGGCGTGGGCTGTGTGTAGCAACACTGCATTAAAAGAAAATGGAAAGGTTACGACGGCTCAGCGAATTAAGGGTTTTGTCGGGAACAATCTATCAAGAAGAGGCTCTAATTCGCAGTTGTGAGATGTTTCGTTGTAAAAGAAAAGAAAAAGCGCTTTTGTGAATTACGAACATAGTGCGGAATTCTAGGAGCTGTTATTGAGCGGTAGATGAGTCATGCGTAGCGGAGGACAATTGGTCAAAGATATTTCATGTGCTGGGTGGATTAGCTGTCCTATCGTCTCACTGTCGCCGTTTGCCTAAACGCGAAGGCTTTGACGAAGTGGATGCCATGATCGAGCCTTCAAAGTTTCTTCTCACTGGGCTCGCGGCCTTACTGCACAACCACTGCCAATGCCTGCCCCTCTATATAAGGTAGCATAGTCTACTCTTGTTGATAGACCCAAGCAATTCGTCTCCTTTAAGATCTTACCTGACGCTCCCCACCGCATTCTCGCAATACTAACCTGACTCCATCATTCTTAATACTATTCTCGCGAAAATCAATTTGTGTACCAGTAAGGAGTTCCATATTCAGTAGAGATGTCGTATTCCACTAACTGACAGTGGGTGCCAGAAATGTGCTGGCAGATGCAAAAAACTCCAGCGAAATGGCCGGACTGCACCGGCGGAATTGGACCGTGCAGTACGCATGAACCTGACCATGACTATAGACAATGGTGCAAACCTGCGGAGCAAAGAGGAAGTCAATGCGAAGATCCAATCCCAACTTCTCAAGCAAGCTCAACTAAGCGCAAGCGGAATTGTCCCAACCATCGAAGCCAGAGCAAACCAGAGGATGATGAAGGAGCTGGTGGAAGTAGTGGTGGCCCTGTCGGTCAGTCACATGGAGTGAAGGTTGGAGCTTAATGTAAGGAGCATCCATTTAATTAGCCCAGTTGGATTAGGGGCGAAGCTGTCTTAGTCATGTTTTATCACCTCAAACATAACCAATCAATAGCTTTTATTTTCTGCTTAGAAAAAAGAAATGAGACATGTGACTTCTCCTCCCCATCATTCTTGAGAGTACCTTTTCTTCCACGGTAGGTACGTTGCTAAGAAGTGTGGTCTCTCAGAACAATTGACATTTCTTTCTCTCCTTGGAATGTCCTCTCCCTTCTTGAACCTAGATGGAACTCCTCTCTGTGATCCCGTTCTTGGCCACGGTGGAACAGGGGTCGTCGTTCGACGAGGTGGCGCCGCCGTCAAGCTGCCATTGAGGTATATTGGTGATAACGACGACGATGCCCAAGCGAACCGTCTCGTCATCAAACATGAAGAAGACGTGTATCGACGGCTACAGGATTGTGATGGTGTTGTCCGTTGCTTCGGCTTCCCTGGATATTGCATTCAAATGGAGTTGATGGAAAATGGAGATCTTGCTACATATCTGAAGGGACAACGCCCGGTGCAGTCTCTTCAGCTCTCATGGTTTCGGCAAATGGCTCATACCCTTGTCCGCATACACGACCGTTGTGTTATAGTAGCAGATATAGCTACAAAGAATTTTGTTCTCAGCGCCGACCTCTCCGTTAAATCCTGTGACTTCACCGAGTCCTCCATTCTGCCCCTTGGTACTGACATGGAGCGCGCCGACGACCATGGTTACTCAATTTACACGGACATTGGCCAATTGGGCGCTGTGATATATGAGGTTATAACCGGGCAGCGTTGCGAATTTGATCTGTTTAAGGATCAACCGTCGGGGCCCGCCTGCGCAGCCTGGCCACGACGGGAGATTCTCCCTTCCACCAAGAATGTTTGGCTTGGTTCAATCATTGAAAAGTGTTGGGCTAAAGGTGCATTCCGGAATGCGAGAAGTCTACTGGCTGCACTAGAGTTAGTCACTCTAGATTGTCCACTCGAGCACGAAAAGAGGATACATGAACATTTAGGATTCCATGTCAACGTGTTTGAGATATGTCCCCATCTCTCGCTTCCACAGGAGAGGACTCTTGACAAATGTCTATCACAGGAGAAGTTAAGCCAGACTCAGCAACTGAACTGGGCGCGGGAAGCAGCTGCTGCTGTCTCATATGCACATTCAAAGCGTGTCCTTATCGGTGGTTTTGCCGCACGAAGCTTCTTAATTGCGGATAAGCAAACACTCAAATTATGCCACTTTGCAAACTCTCGCATCGTTCCTAAATATCTAAATATTGACGAAATCAACGAGGACGGTCTATCAGTCAAGTATGATATAGCCTGTTTCGGTTCCCTAATTTACAACATTGTTACTGGAAGGAAGTTCGAAGTTCCCATCTGTCAAATATCCAATACCACTGCGCAGGGTTGTGGTGAGGATGCGGCAGTTTCCGAAAATAGGGACTACACGATTCCAGGACAAATGGATAAAGACATATATGGAGAGCTGCCCAACACGGTGGGCATATTCATGGGCAACGTAATCCGGGACTGTTGGGATCGGGACGGGTATCGGAGGATGGAAGATGTCTGTAGCGCACTCTCTGAGCTCTCAGAGCGCGATCTCTCGGGTTTACTCTTAAGCAGTATGGCAGAAAGCGACTCCATATACCGCTCTTTGCAATTTATGTTGACGGTGAAGAGCTGGTTTCACCCTCATCTGTTTCATCTTCGTTTCGTCCCCATGGTTGCGGTTGCGGCTGTCTCGCTGGGATTTCTTGTCCTACATCGAGGTTTCTACGAAGCGTCCAGGCCTGACTTATGAGACGCTGGACAGAGATTTGAGGTACAGGATAGAAGGGAGTCTAGTCGGTTTTATTGTGTGTACTACTGTTTAATTATATAATGCCTAGGAGGTCCTAGCGAAACAAATCTGTCAGACACTTAAGGAAAGTGAGGAGACATTAGACATAGGAGCTGTTCTGAGTGAATAACAGCTGCTCTTCTTTAAATTCTATTCACTGAAACGGGAGTGATTAACATTGTATTTCCGTAAAAATCGCGCTCTTGGATGGCTGTCTAGCGCTTATACAAATATCATCAGCATGTCCATGCAATGCTACCCAAAGAATCTACTGCGAACCATCATAGTGCTGCATCCCTGTGGTGGCAGATGACTTGGTTCAGAGACTGGGGTAAATAAGGTCCTTGCGTACGTAGCATGGCCGAATCACATCCATTTCCTGTCATGCCATATAAGAAGCGCCCACAGGGGAGGTCGTAAGTTAACCTTCAAAAGCTAGCTTTTAATTCACAAAGATCAAGCAAAGTTCAATTTTCATCTGGAATTTCTAAGCATATTTGATTTCCATCTTGCAAGATTGCACATTTCAACAGATAGAAAAAGTGACGGCTAGCAAAGTTTCCAAGCGTAAGGAAGCCCAAACTGATGTACAAAACTAAATATAGAAAATCTTGACGTCATCCTCTATGATTGGAGCAGAATAGCCGCTGAACTATGAGCCAATCACAGCTCTCGCTCACTTCTGCTCTCTGGGCTACTTTTGTTTCCTCCTTGCCTCCCTTTCTGGACTTCCGAGGTTTCGTTGTTACCTATGCCATGATGAAGAGCCGTTTTCCTTGTTTGTTTCCCTCCCATACATGCGTATTCCTAATGACGTCGCGGCCGCTTTCCATGTTCCTCCTGGTCTCCAGCAGCTGAAGGCATGGCTCTCTTCCTGGACGGTGTCTCGGTCTATGATTCTTCTATGTTGGTTGAAACAATGTGATATAGGTTGGCGATGTAACTTTACCTGTTGAGCTTGGGATGCGACCATCGATTCCAGAAGCGCAATATATGAAAATAGTGTCTTAGCGTCCGCGAGGATAACCGCACAGTCAAAGCCATTTAAGTTACCGGTATGCCATCTCACTTCGTCTGTGTATTCTTCCAGCCTCTTCCGAATATGACCCAGGTCTTCCTGACTAAGAGGTCTATACATCTGCTGAAAAGGCGTTGTCGGCGGGCTCTCTACAAGAGTTGTATGAATCGATCGGGTCCAATCTGGTACAACTTTCGAAGGTTGGAGGTTGAGCGGATTTTTAGAGAGCGTGATATGGATAGTTTTTCCGGCTGGAGTTTCCTCACAACATACATAACTGTGAGCTGCCGATTCCCAAAGCTGTGTCGCCGGCACCGGAGATGTTGGCCTTGTTGAGCTAGTAGAGTCCACCTGCTGCTGGTCTCCAGAGTGCTGGACCTTCGTGGCCATTTTTGTTCCCAGGTCAATACTATCATTTTTTTCTGCGTCCAGATGTCAGTTGCGACCGGTTATAAGTAGGATGGGAGAGTTCGGTGCACCTGTGGCAGAACTTGTCCCACTACCACCTCTACTGTCCACTGAGCCAGTCTCTGTTTCCTCGATCTTACGAGTAAAGGGTTGTCCGGGTACTCATGATGGTACTCATGATGGAAGTGATCGCGTCGGGCGATTTACACAGCTAGGGCGACCTTGTTAGGAGAAGCGAAGGTGGTCCCCTTGAAGCCAAAGTTGGGAGGAGGGCAAGGCTTTATAATCCGTCCAGACCCCGTGGTCTACGTTAATGGGTCCCCCATGACTGGAACTGACTGCGAGGGACCGCACCGTCGAGATAGGGACCGGGTTCAACGATCAGATGAGGATGTATTGAGCCGGGAGAGAGAAAAACGGTGCCTTATGAACAGAGAGGAGATTCCTATAACATCTACAGTACGCCCTCCACCTTTCCCGTTGATGTATGGCTAGAGATGTTTACAAAATTTAACTAACTTCCATTGATTAATGCTGTCCAACGAGGAACGAAAGATGCATGTACGACAGAAAATCAAACGTTGTAACCGGCAGCGTTGTCATCAGATACAATTACCGAGAGAGAAAGAACAAAGCGCACTATTTACTAAGGAGAAGGCATTGACATTTCACTCATACAACTCGTCGCGCTCGTGAGCCATCCCCACGTCCGGCACACTATACCCGTTCACGGTCAACGCTGATCGGACATGGTCGAACCTCAGTTCGCCAACTTTTGCTGCTATCGTGCAAGCGATGGACATGGTATTTTTGATCTAAGCAAATCAGTCACAGGAGCTCTTTCAATCATGGGTTCCACTCACCTGCCGTCCATTGATGGTTACTTGGGCCAGAGCGGCTAGTTGCCGATCATCAAGGCTGACTTTTAAGCCGCAGTCTTTCCGTAGGAACTGTTCGAAGATTTTTTTTCTTGCCTCGTAACCCAGATCACTATATTGCAGTGAAAGATGGATCCGGTTGAGGATCGCTGCATCCAGACCACCGGGCTGATTTGTCGTCAAGAACAGAATTCCTTCAAAATATTCCAGCTTGTGAAGAAAAGTGGCCACGAGACGATTTCGGTCGATGATCTCGGAAGAGCGTTGTGTCAGGAAGACTTCGGCCTCATCCAGGAGAAGTAGAGCTTTCCAGTGACTGGCCGTTGTGAAGACCTGATCGAGTTGAACGTCCAAGACTGCGGCGTCGGAGGATAATTGACCTGCGGATATCTGCGATGGTGAGCGTGATCCACGATAATGTTAGCGTGGGTGAACGCACCGAATAGAGAGGGCTCTGCAAGCGTTCAGATAAGGCTTCTGCAGTCAGAGTCTTGCCCACTCCGGGGGGACCGCTGGCGAGCAAGTTAGCTTGTATAATCATCAATGAGGCTCTGGAAACATACGACAGAAGCACTATAAGTCCGCGTCCTTTGTTTGTGATGAAGTCGTCGAATCGACCCTCCTTACCTTCGCCCATGCGGCTTTCGCCAAGGGCCATTACTATGTCCTTCCTTCCCGCAGGAAGCACTAGGCGATCAAAAGCTTCCGGCAACCAGTCGATTTTTCTAATATTGTCGATTGCAAATTCGCCTGTACCAGTGCGTTAGTTGGGTTTCCTTTAGGAGCTTAGTGTGATTATCTTACCCCAAAACTTATTTCCCAAGCTGAACCCTAGCACCGTTGGCGAGCAAACAAGGAGCTCATCTCCTGTCAGCTTGTCAGGAGACTTCCCGGTGCACTTGACACGCTCTCTAAAGTCATCAGTCGCAGTACCACCCCACACGTCAATGACAGCGATCCTGTCCTGCAGTTTCGGATAACCTGGATTGACTTTCCGAAACCTGGAAGCATCAACCATGATTCTTCCGTCCACGGTCTGTTGACGGATGCCATCCTTGCCCTCGAAGAAAGCAACGCCCTGGTAATGGCAATGATGGCTAGCCATCATTTTGATAAATCGCTGGCCGCATTTTCGAAGATGTTTTTCCATCGCTTCTCTTGTCGGATGGTACTGGAGAGGGAAAGCAGCTAGCTTGCTGATTGGTACCGCGCCATGGAACTTAAAAATGCTCACTCTACTTTCAACTTCCCCGAATACCTCGCCGTCGAAGTCAAAGTAGCGACCTGTCAGCTCGAAGTACTCCACACCCTGTTTGGTCTTCTTGTTTTCGCTGGAATCGTATATGAGCGATCTTGGTTTGCCGCTTCCTCGGCAGCTTGTGCATATCGGCTGGCCCGGTTTGAACAGGGCCCAGAGCAGGTCGTACGTGATCGTACACTCCGCGAGAAGCGCTTGGAGACGTTCCGTGGTCTCTCTATAGGCCCTCTTGATGCAGTCGATCAACAAAGCCAGATGGTCCTTAAGCTCTTCCCGTGTGACTGGGTCTGTGGAGGTGTTGGGTTTCGCTTCCCTGAGTACGTGAATGACTTCTACAAGAAGACCTTTCAATTCCTTCCATGTGACGGGCGATTGAATAACACAATGCTGGGGACTTTCATCGATAGGGGTGCATGGAGGCGTTTGGGCCAGCCGGGGAGTGGCAGGGCCCTTGCCATTGAGGTTCATTGCTTTAGGCATGGAGATAGTTGATGGATAAAGAAGTCTTGGACACTGGGCTGGGGAACTGGCTTGATAATGTCTTTGGGAGTCTTGAATGTCTGTTTGTTGCCTCAGGATTTCGGCGGAATTGTGCCTCCTTATATGCCATTCTGTCGACACTCCTGGCACCTATTCCTTCGTCGTTTTCAGTTTCCCCTTGAACCACATGGATACGGGAGCCACTTTAGGGATGCATGATTGTGCCGCAGGATACATGAACCCCGCACATCCTTCAACTGAGTCTAGGTGAACCGTCTCCTCGCGTAACTAGACACAGGATATGTTGTCTACTCTCTACTCGAACTATCCCTCGATCTGAGCGTTCTCTGCTCCACTAGCCCGAAATGCCGCCAAGGGTATAGACTGCTCGTCACGTCGACTGCATAGAGATTGCTGGTTAGCTGTGCTCCCAAAACCTGGACTGTACCGCTATAAAATTATTATGCCGGAGTAGCTTCTTGTGAGCCTTGCAGCGCACTTGATATAGGTTACTTCTGGCATGGCACCGGCGGCAATATGATTGGGCCACGAAATAGGTATAACTTCATAGAGTACCTAGCGGGAAGTTCGCACAATTTTCCCGAAGAGAGGAATTACTCGTGAACTACTGATTAACTGATGAGTAAATTGTAAGCTAAAATGCCAGAGACTAACTGTCACGTGCCACGTGGCTTCCCCGGTCTAAATAAGAATCCCAATTCTGGGATCTACGCATCACTCATGCAGGACTCTTAAGAATAGTTCTGAGTAACCTCGGATGACTCAGCAACCTCCTAAGAAACCCAGGGAGATGTTGCTTGACATTGACGATAATCAAGGAAGCGAATCAACACTAGTGGGATGATTCACATTCGTCAGTTTTGGTGGGTGTCTTGCAGCGGCAGTATGATTGGTCCACGAAGGTGGTGGTGTAACTCCATAGGGTGTATTCCTGCTAGTTCGCACAAGTTTCTCGCTAACTGATTAGAAAAAAGAGAGGAGTTACTCATGAACTACTGATTAAATGATGAGTAAATCATAAGCCAGAGGCTAACTGTCACGTGCCACTTGGGGTTTCCTTTCCCCCTCACTTGGCTTCCTCATAAACTACTCATAAACTCTTCACCATTTACTCTTCACGGCTTCCATCGAACTAATGGCGCAGTCGCTTGAGCAGAAGGCGCAACGCTTCCAGGTGCCGACCGGAATCCGCGAGCCGTGTGAGAGACTCCAAGCACACGCAAAAACACTCCACGCCATACGACGATTAGAGCCTAGAGCCGCGAATCTCCTTTCCGCTGCAGTTAAGATCATGACCACTGAGCAGACTATTAGTGCCTTCAAGAAATACTACTCATTTTTATACGATATTCTTCGAACGTGTGGGCAGTCTGGACAGGGACTCGTCGTACTATGCGCTGTTAGCCTGGGCAAAAATCGAGTGGTTTCCTTGAGCGAGGAGAAGAGAACAATGCTCGTCAACTGGATCGCCGAGAATCAAGGCTCTTTGTATTCCCCAGCTCTCTCCACTCTGGCAGCAGAGTTCAGCGTTCCAAATCTTAATAAGCGTGAGTGGCCTTATCTTTAGCCTATTGTCAAGTTATCTAAAGTCTCAGTTGATAGGTTCTGATGGCTCCGCCGACCCAATTGCTCTCCCACTCACTGAGGCGGCTTTGGACATCTTGCGCGAATACACGAAAGAAGGGAAGGGAGATCAGCTAAAGATTTTATGCCCTGATCCATACATACAACTTCAACTGATGTCATCCCATTGCCCTTGAGCTTAAAGGAGCTTTTCAAAAGGGAGAAGAACACCACGGGGCCACGATTTCGAGAGATGTGGCCGTGGCTACGTTCTGCTCGTGGCCCGAGAAGGGATTTATTTTTGGGCTCGCAGTCGTCTTTTCGTGCGATCTATTTTCAGCACCCGTTTATTTTCACCATGCGATCCATTTTGAGCACCCTTCCATTTTGTTACCCTTCTCAAGATGTATAAATCCCATGCGCTTCGCTGTCGAGCGATGCCGACAACTCCTCATCCTCGCTGATACCTTTCGCCTTGGGATCTTTATTCTTTCTGTCTCCCTTTTCACACCAAGCTTCTATTCTCGCAACCAAGATGGCCATCCAACACTTCCGATTTGTACAGTGGCGCTCGAAATTGGCTTCCATAATCAGAATAGATCAACTTCTTCTCGAACCCTAGGTGCCAAGACTATTAGTATTGGGCTTATCCAAGATTGGTTAGAGTGTAATCTGTAGGGCTGAATTGTATGGGACAGAACTAAAGCGTTACTGAACCTGTTGTATTGTAAGTGTATCAGAACATACATGCCACGTTATCCTTGGGCAAAGCAGTCAGCCAGAATCTGCCAGACGTTGTAAACAGACCAACTCACAGCAAAATGGCACCGAATCTTCAAATAACTTTGCTGGGTGCCAGCGGGTGGATGCCAGATGTGGTAAACGACCCCCAGAAATCGCGTTTTGTCATTCTTGAACGTCGAGTCGGGCCGAAAATATATCCGGTTCACGTGATGTTATGTGGATTACCTGTGGACACTAGTGCCAAATAACTCCTCAACCTCAATTTAAGCAATAATGTCGTCGCGGCCATCGCTTGAAGTGCTAACTCCACAACAACGTGGATCTGCGAGAAGCCTGCTTGAACGAATCTTCTGCTCAGATATTTTATCGATGATTCTACCTCTTCTTGACTCTAAAGATTTGAAAAATTGCCGCCTGATCTGTAAAGCGTGGATGCCCGAAACAAATCGGCTTTTATTTTCGGTCGGATCGTGCTTCAGTCGGTACATAATTCCATAGACCACAAATGTCACTGCTCTTTCGAGTTTATGGAATTCTCCTAAGTTCGTATCGCGGAAAACATATGCTTGAATCGGAGAAGTGCCTGGAAGAAGACGGCCAGGACGTGGTGGCTCCAGGTACTTGTCCGGAAATGATATAACGAGGCTAGCTATGCTCGGTAGGCTTTACTAAATGCATGCCCGACATGAAACTCTCCTTAAACGGGCACTTGAGGACTTAAGTAGACAGAAATATATGTACGATATTACAAGACAGGTAGGATATCAATACATGATCCCCCCTCATACCATCACAAACCAGGGGTAAGCTAGAACGATTCCTTACAAGGTACTTTTGCTTTGCGATAGTGGAATGGCCCCAGTTACCCACCCTCAGAACAAACTGACATCTTTCTCCAGAACAGACGCTCAAACCGCGGCGGGAATGCTTCCAAACTAGCTTCACCATTTCAGGGGCCATTCTGCTGGTTGCAAATGCGGTGGATTGAGAGCAATAGTTACGCAGAAAGAGCTTCACAATAGCTGTGAAGAGAGATTTTTCAGGACTCGAGGGAATCTACCTACTTTTATCTAGTATTTGGCACATTCCCCGAGGAGCAGGTTGTTCGCAATAACAGGAACTCAATCTAGATTGCGCCATGTCTCTTCATTGATCTACAGAGCAAGGCACGTTCTGGGAACGGAATGGCATCGTGCTTTACAGTAGTCTCGAGCCCAATGATAGACTGTGTATGGATGCATTACATAGGGGTAGAATAAGAAAACAACAGCTGCGCAATCAAGATGTATTTGAGTCTGTGATTGGCTGATACTGTAAGGGAGTGCATTTCTTGTCTGATGTGGGAAGTTAGGCACAACCTTCATTTATGCAGGTGTGCCAATAAATGAAGGTTGTGCCTAACTTCGGATTGCAAGCTCTTAAGGCTGCCTTTGCGATTGGCCACGGTAAATCAACCCTTGCTGCGCTTAAAGGCCCTATTTGGACCCTATCTGTGACAAAAACTGCCCCAGGGATGCGGGGCCAGCAAATCAAAATGCCTCATGTGGCCTGCCCCATCGCTTCAAAAGTGTGTTGTTGGGCCGGTTGACATCGCTAGGGACAGCATGGCACAGAGAGGTTCCTGATTGGCAATTGGAATTAGGCATGTTGATCGCAAACCCAGGTTTGCGTGGCTCACGCCAACAACAGCCGAAGGAGGCTACAACATTCTCTCGACTCAAAAAGATGAATGACTGAAAACTCGAGCTGCACAAGGGCGTAGCGCCTGCTTGGCGCATTGTGTGGTATTCTACTGGGCTTGAGCTCTCACATTGGTTGCATTTTTGTGAGTCATCCATTTCCCTGACAAGGCTGCATGTAGCAACTGCGACAAAGTGATGCCAAAACAGCGTACAGAGTTCAGCTAATGCACTGAAGTAGCTCCGAGCATCGCCTGCGGGACGAACACAATGCTCAATTATGCCGACCCCCAATCATGAGTTACAGGAGCCATGCCAGCAGCAAGTACTGAAGACTCGATGGAGTGTAACCAGTACCTCGTATCAGAAATGCTCAATCATGTCGAACCCCAGTCAAGAGTCCGAGCCTGATCAATCCTTGACGACAATACGTGTGGACAGGTAACCCTGTCAACTGACTTACTTCTTGAAAGTAGCAGTCCTCACATTAGGCGAGACTCAGGTTTATTATAAAAAGGCTCTCTTCTTCCTCAATTTTTCTGATCTTCTCTAAACACATCTCTCCTGAAAACCAAAACAAACAAAGCCTTCTTCAACACATATCTAGCAAGCAGCCTCTACTGCAAGGTATTGGTTCTCCCAGGTCTTATAGATAGTAGATGCTAACAAGGATAGACCAGTCGAAATGTGCAAAAGGTCGTACGATAAGAGAAAGGGTGCTTGCGACCATTCAATCGAGACGCCAGGGAGCCTTGTTCCCGATCCTGATTGCAACAATTGCGGCGTTGAGAAAGGGAAGACATATAACATTCGCAACACTAGAACCCATGACCCTTGCGACAATTGTCAGCACAACGGCTCTTGGGTCAGAAGAGCGGACGGCAAATGGTACAAGGCCACGGAGGGGGGTCCTAAGCCGCTTCCCACTTTCACGTATCCCTGTAAGTTCTCTTTGGCACACTCAAAATTTTGCTAGTCTAACAACTTTCTAGAATCGCTCGCAGCTTTGACTGTCCTTGGATATTTGTTTGATGAGGTATCGAGTGTCTGTTTTCAGATGAACAGAAATGCTGAGCTGGACAAGGTCAGGTGAGGAAGGTCGACTTTTTGTTTTCCAATTGTTCTTGCTTGTTTGAAGTGCTAAATTTCCTCTTTGGGTTTAATGGATCTAGTAGTCTCTTTCGGTCTAGCGTAGCACTCTGTCTCCACCAAACAACAGGGATAATTATCAGGGAGCAATGACAAGGTACCGAGATTGTTTGGCAAAAATGGCATAGCGTGGCTGCATGTGTAGCCACGCCCCTATTTGTCTCACGGTCTCGTTTCTTTTCCTCTTCTCTTCTCTCTTCTCGCAGCGCACACACTGAACATTCTGACCCTCTCATTCTCTTGTTCTACCAGCTTCAATCTCGCGCCTGCTGCTCTGCCCAACTACAATTCTGGTTACAAATCCACCATGGGCTTCCTGCACGCCGATACACTCGAGAAACACGACAATGTTGGCACTGGAGCCTATTCCATTGTTTACCATGTCACTCCAACTCTCGTCGTGAAAAAGGTCCGTCCTGAAGAAAAAGAGACGGAAGCCGAGCATCCCTTCCTCGCCGAGATCCGTTTTTTTAAAGACATGAACAAGCGCAACGATCGATGTTCAAGTATCATTGATTGTTTTCTCACGTACCCAGATCATATTTTCCTATCTTATTGCCCGAACAACCAACTCGATAGGCGATTGCTTGGACACCAGGAGCGAGAACCAGGAGTAGATGGCCTTCCTGGGCGTCTTATTCATGTGAAGGAATACGAGGATCCCGCACTTGTCGCTCGATGGATACAACAGCTCAGCTCAGCTCTTGAATTTGTGGAGACAATGGGTTTCTGCCACAATGACCTGCATGCAGGAAACTGTCTTCTTGACAAAGATTTCAACTTGAAGTTAATTGATTTTGGTCGTGTAACCCCCATTGGACAACTTCTTGAGGGTGTTTCAGTTCCACTGGCCATACTTACCCGGGGTGGACCATTAAGCGGCTCTTATGGTCTCTGCGGTGCTAGAACTGAGCAATTTGCAGTTGGGTCAATTTTGTACTTCATGGTTTATGGACACGAACCAGATGATGATCCTAATATCGATCGATTAGAGCTGTGTGAACGATTTAATCGGATGGAGTTCCCAAAACTAAATCGTCATGAAGTCTTTGACGAGCTTATTTCTGCTTGTTGGCACAATGTCTGGCCTACCATGGCACTACTGGCCTATAGTTTTAGGCGGAAAACCGAACACATTGCAGGATCAATCCCAGAATATGAGGTCATAGATCGCGTCAAAGAGATAAAGAAATGCGAAGCCCTGGTTCGAAAAGGGATACTCGGGCCTGAATTAGCACTTCAGTGCCAGCCATTCTGGTGGAATTGTCTGCATGCAGGGAAGAGTATGTTCTTTTGGAAGGCCTTGATTGATCTCCCAAGGCTTTGGTTTTGATTTTCAAGGAGAAAGAACTCCAGCAGTCTCATGGGATGCAATAGAATTGTGATGAAGTCACCAACATTCCACTGTCATTGATTACTTTGTTTTTGCGGAGGATTCGTCGAGTATAAACGTGATTAAACTTTTGCTATATTTTATCGCTGTCGTTTCAAATGGTAAATAACCGTAGACACTTTTAAAAAGGACTTCAAAATGAGCGCCAAATTGTAATACAAATGGAAGTAGTTCTTCCAGTTCCAAATAACAGTGGCTCTCCCTATTAGATTTTCTGGGTTGCATGTAAATTTGCGCTTATCATGTGCTCCATTGGAAATTATTGGCTGGTTAATTAACGCAGCTGTATGGAGCGAAAACTTGGCAGGCTGGAAATATTTTTATCCAACACTAGCCCAAACATCCATTCAGAGTATAAATAATATCATCCTGCTTTTTCACCCCATCTAACGCGCACCCTTTGCTATCACCCATAATCCTAAAGATGACGTCCACAGATGTCGTCTATGTTATGCAGCGCCCAGGCTGTATAGCAATAGGTCAGTCCGGAGAGATATGCAAGATCACCGACTCCATGGTTGCCAAATACCCCAAATCTTTTCCGGGAGAAACCACCTACAATGAACTTCGTCAACAGTTCTTGGATGTTGAGAGATTTACGAGCGTCTCGGGCACCATGATGGAATTCTGCAATTCTTTGGAGTTTGAGACTGGAGCGATAACTACGACTAAACTACGCCAATCAAGGTGACTTGGTATCGTACATTCGATCGCATGATGCGCCGCCCGAAGCATCTCGCAAGGTGTGGATTCGACTACTGGTAGAGACGTTCTATTACATATACTGTTGCAAAGTACTTCATCAAGATGTCAAGCTTAGCAACATCCTCATAAACGATGATACCCCAAAGGTTGCCGATTTTGCAAATGGCGCCATCTTCCCGATAGATGCCGACATGGAGCTGATTTGCGCCCAAGATCCGCTTTCTCGAATTGACCTGCTCGGCATCGGTTGTATAATGTATTCAATCGGAATATGGCAAGATTTTGAGTACGATTACTTCGAAAACAATCGCTGGCCGACACCGGAAGAGCTGCCATCGACGCACGGAGTTTTATATGGGGAGGTCATTGCTAGGTGCTGGAACAATGAGTATGGCACTGTGAAATCTCTATATGAGGATTTCCGCAGCTGCAGCCAAGAATCAGGGGTTTAACTTCGGACCAGGTTTGGGTATTTCGATATAATATGCCTTGAATGAAGGAACTCATACATGTGGGACGCTCAGTCTATCTGGGACTATTGAAAGATTAAGAAGAAGGGAGCTAATATAATCAACTTTGACTTATTTCACAGTTGTATGGCTTTTCTACAGTACAGAACTACTCGCATCCTATAAGCTAATCACGTTGAAATTTCGAGGCAATGAAGATACTGGAGGGTTGGACATTAGACCTCAAGAAGAGAGGAGTACTTTGGGCAGCGGCCTTGGCCCTCAAGCCAATTGCCCGGCTGTTCCTTCTTTAGCTTAATCTAGATACATATTGTCACGAGTTTACGAGATGATGCGTCCGCAGGCTATCTAAACGTCGCAAAAATGTGATCCTCACTTTTCAAGGTATATGGGAACTGTTATTCAATATCTGTAGCTTAAAGTTTCCATAAGTTCAGTCGCTCTTAATGAAAAGAAGCGAGATAGCAATAAGAGGAATTTTACATGGACCACCAGCAACCATCCAAGCAATTCATGACTACATCAATTCAGCCTCTATCACCTCTCCCTGCCCACCGAGGACAAACTCATCCTTTGAAATATTCTCGATCTCATTATTATAGCCCACTACTTCATCGGCGTGTTCAAGAAGCTCTGTCTCGTTATGGATTGTAGCTTCGGCATTGAGAATCGCATGATCAAGGTCATAGTCCATCATGGCACGGCGAATCACAGCATGAGGAGTATGGTAGCGGTTGAAAACAATGTCGTTGCGCTCGAGCAAATCTATGGACATTGGAGCGGCTAGGTTAGCGGGATTTGCAAGAAATTTTCAATGGAAATATACTTACCCTCTAGCTTCTCGATATGAGACCTGGCATGGTAGTAGGCGGCATGAAGTCCAGCAAGACTCGAGACTGCTCGGTGCAAAAGAGAAAGAAGGTAACCAACTGTTCCACGGAACAAACCTGTATAGCACATCTATAAGGATTCAAATGTTTATAGAAAGATACTATACTAACCAATCTCAGAATTTGGGTCTTGATGGTGCTGGTAGAGTTCTAGTCGAGTAAGAAACTCGCGTCGAGCAGCTTCGCGAGACTCCATGGTGCGGACTCGACACAGAAGGCTCAATAAATAGGGAAGAGGAGTCAAGTTGTAAGATTAGGAAGGGTAATACGAGAGAAACTCCCTGTAAGAAAAAGCGATACTTGCCAGCAGTTGTACTCAATGTTTGAATCAGAGAGCAAGACCGGAGTTGAAAATAAACAAGTGAAAGGAGCGAAGAGAAACTGTAAGAACACAAGCCAAAGCAAGGATGAGCAGAGAACATTCACTTGCTGTATCCAAGTCAGATTGAATGGAGGTTCCACAGCAGGCAGTTAGTGTTGAAGAGAAACCATTCACTAGACATTTGTTATAATTCTTTCTTCGCTATACAGTATGGGCTTCTAAAACGGATCCTCGCTTAAAATTCGCTGTATTTCGAGTAAGCAGCTCAACCAGAATGCCAAATATCAAGTATCTCTGATGGCCCGACACCTTTTCATTGGTATCGGGAGAACTAAGCTTGGAAAACCGCTGTAAAGTCTTCCATATCACAAACTGTTCTCGAAAACCAAGATAACCCTATAATAATTAGTCATGTTTGCACCCTGGAAGCTCGTTGGAGATTTTCCAACAAGGCCCCTCATGGACGCTATTCCACCTAGCAGCCCACATTTCAAATGGCATCCGGCATGTACTAACTAAGCCTATCATGTCCCAGTTGCTGGAGGGGAATAATGGAGTGAAAGTAGCTGCAGGCGACCAAATTGGAATGCACTCCTGAGTGATTCTAAAACATTGGAGAGATAGCTGAGATAGCTGAGATGTCCTGGGGAAGCCCAAAGAAGCTTTTGCCTATTTCTAAAAAGCATGGTGTTCTTTACTAGACCTCTTATTCCATAAGCGTGGCATCGGTTTTGGTTCCCTCCAAGATGTGGTAGAGCTATAAAATATATCGTGTGTTAACCTGCGCCATAATTGGATCCATGGCAAAGGAGATCAAAAAGGGCCTCTAAAGGAAAGACTGAATGGGACATGCAATATTGTCCACCTTGGCCATGTGCTAGAAGAAGTACAGTACCTATTCTGCCCAAAAGCCATTGATGCGTCACAGGGAGGAGGGTACATTACTGGAAGAAATTGGTGGTTTTGTCGCTGGATGTCTTGCAATACAACTAACTAGTATCCCCGATGACAAAGTTGAGGTACGTTCAATGGGTCACGTGCCAGTATAACAATAGAAGAAATGTAGGAGGAAATGTTGCTAACATTGTCACAAGCAATTCTTGACGCCTACAAGATTGATGACTCCATCTATAGTAAACTATGCTCCCTTCCCCTGGAGTGAAAAGAAAAAAACAGTAGCAGTCCCTCTCAACAAGCTATTAACAGCGGGTCTTGTCTTGGTCACCACAAGTAAATCAGTCATGTATCCACATATCCTCCTTCACGTCCAGTGCACGTTCCACCTGCTGCCATATTGCCAAAAGCCCCAGCTGGCGGCCTGCCATGTCCTCATGAAATCTTTGCATGAAGCGCACCAACCGCCAATCACCAATGCAGAGAACTGGCGCGAGTGTGTGTCTCTCCATCAGGCGTTCCTTGGCGACTCGTTCCTGGCGACTCCAGGGCAAGACAAACAGGTCCACGATCTTCGCCCCTGCCGCATCTCTCACAATTTCCAAGCCACCATCCACGCGCCTGTATCTCGCTATGACCGCACGGCCAGTATCCCAGATATCAGGCGTATCGTAGTCATGAACATAAGCTGGTGTTGGCATAATCGAAGGCATGTATATCCCCACAAACAGGCAGTCATCACCAAACAGCCGCCCATCGACCTCCTCAAGAATCGCGTTGTACTTATCGTCATCATTATCGAGTTCATAATCACTCAGCCAGAAAGAAATGACCCCGAGGCCCAGTATCTCAGTCACGTCACTAGTCAGTCTGACTATGTTTGGGGCGGGTTCCGACATGCCTGTCTCAATGAAATACTGTATGTCAGTCAGCTAGTGTCTTTACATCAAAAATTTGGCAGTCTCCTCCAAAGCACTCACAGGAAAAATGTATCTCCTCAGCTCTTCCTGAAGGCAAGCAGTATACCAATATTCGACTAAGAGAGAGAATGGAGTGTTGACATACAATGTATTGTATAAGGGAGAGTGGTGTCGTAGAAGTTGTAGCAGCTAGTTCTTATATGAACACAAGTCAACCACACCATCGGGAAGCGTGGAGGGCGTACTGTAGATGTCAGGAATTTCCGCTCTGTGTGTAGGCACCATTTTTATCTCTCTGAGCTTCTATACGTCGTCATCTAATCCATGAACCGGTCCCTGTCTCATCAGCTAACAAGTCCCGTAAACGGTGCGGTCTCTGTCTTGAGGGGTACTATTAGCATATACAAGGGGGTCTGAGGGCATTTAAAGCCAGCCCTCCTCCCACTTTAGTTCTATAACTCCATCTTCCTTTTTTCTCCTGACAAAGGTCGTCCCAGCCTTGCAAACCATCCAACGCCACTCTTCCATGAGTACCAGGACAACCCGAGCTAGAACGTCTGAGGGTATATAAAGCTAGCTCTCCCACTTTGCGTTCATCGATCTATCTTCTCTTTTTCTCCTCCCAAAGTGCCTCAAATTCTCCGACATACTGTGATGCGACCAATGGCACCTGACATCCAGAACAATGCATCCCAAGTTCCGGCCCGCAAGCAGTCCGAATGGTCTCCAGAAGAACATAGTGAGATCATCAGGCTTCGTGCGCGCGGAATTAAGTGGGAAGATATCAGCAAGAAACTTCCCGGGCGAAGTTCAATGAGCTGTCGCCTCCATTACTATAAATATCTTAAGAGGCGGAGGAGTGATTGGGATGAAAATCGAAAGAATAGACTCGCCAGATTATATCAAAGGTGGGAATGGTATGGTGTCTTACTGACAAAGCAGGGAAATTGGTGTTTGCAAAGGCAATTTAACAAGTTGACGTTCAAGAAAATCGCATCTTATTGGTTGACCGGTCGTCCCACTTAAATCCCTACGTGTCAGCACCCTCTCGATTGCCCCATGTGGCCTGGTAAGGTTGACGGTCGACGAGTTAGCAACACCAGGATGACAGACTTGAGGAACGATACCAGCCATACCTTAAGGGTGAATAGGGAGTATGTCTTTATCAAACTGTGGAGGTAGCCAAAGAGGATGGAGACAGGCGACAGGAAAAGATCCCAAGGATGCCGATGATAATGGCCAACCAGCTTGACAAACTTGGTGAGAGCAATGAATACAACAAGCTGCGCCATTGATGGACAATACAGCGCATCATCCGCCTCAGTCGTCTTGTGACAAAGCCATATCAAGAGAGGCTCAGTTATGAGGGTTAGCTGGGTTGGTGTTGAAAGAAACACGGCGTATGTGCTCCATGGATATCTCCTAGGGCGGATGGAGTCAGTGGTGTTCGCGGCATATCTGGCTCCCCAGCCTACCACGCGGCA